TCAACCCCCCGCCCCCCCCCTAAACCCTAATAAACCCTAAACCCTAGCAGGGAAATTTACCTGGTGTCTCTACTGCAACATATTCTCCAGGTAATTTATCAATTAGGGTTTCGAACTCGGAGTGTTTTTGTGCTGCCTTACACCCTAAACACTCCTTACTATGATCTATTGATGTTATTAACACCACCGCACATAAACACGCTACACGGCTTAAGAATGCCTGAAACACAAACCCTAAACCCTAAACCCTAAACCCTAAACCCTAAACCCTAAAAAACCGTAAACCTCAAAAAAATCCTACTTTATAAGACGTCATGTGTGAAAACTTTTTGGCAGAAAACCACAACCAGCTCAAACCCTAAACCCTAAACCCTAAACCCTAAACCCTAATTCCTGAACTAAGGAAGTCTAACGTCTCTAGAGGTCGTGTTTTTTGCATTATGAATTAAGAATTAGGGTTTAGGGTTTGTAGGGTTTAGGGTTTACGATAGCTAGGACGGTAACGGCGAATGTCTCGAGTCTATCCTTAAATAAAGGTAATTTAGATGCAACTGCCAATACACCGTAGAGCAGCAGCAACAAGGAGAAGATAAACATTATACAATAGAAGACGCGCTCATTCATACGAAAACTTAGCCAATGTAGTCTATCAGCAGCAGAACCTGCAGCAGCAGCAACACAGCAGCAGCAGCAGCAGCAGCAGCAGCAGCACAAGGAGTAAGAATATTGTAACATAGGTGGCAATGCTGCAGCAGCAAAAATGGTGCTGCAGCAGCAACAGAAACGCTGTTGCAGCACTGCAGCAGCAGCAGCACAAGTTGGCTGCATAAATAATGCAATAATAAGAGAGCAGCAAGATAAGAAGGCGCAAACGGCAGAAGAAGGCTGTGGCGATTGGTGTCTCGAATTAGGGTTTATGAGGGTTTACAAGGGTTTAGGATTTATTCGGATTTTTAGGGTTTTTAAGGGTTTGGGGTTTATGAGTGTTTATGAGTGTTTATTAGTGTTTATTAGTGTTTACTAGTGTTTATTAGTGTTTATTGGTGTTTATTAGTGTTTATTAGTGTTTATTAGTGTTTATTAGTGTTTATTAGTGTTTATTAGTGTTTCCGAGGGTTTACAATTTTTGAAGATTTTTGAGGGTTTAGGGTTTACGAGGGTTTAGGGTTTAGGGTTTACGAGGGTTTAGGGTTTATAATATACTTTGTGATACGAATAGGCAAGCAACTTGCATAAGTTCAACAAATAACATAAGTAGACCAATAACTAAAATAGTGAATATTTTTTTCGTGTTTTTGAAAAATTAGGGTTTAGGGTTTAGGGTTTAGGGTTTAGGGTTTACGAGGGTTTAGGGTTTTGATACCTTGTGATACGAATAGCCAAGCAACTTGCATAAGTTCAACAAATAGCATAAGTAGACCAACAACAAGAAGACGAAAAGGATAGAGGGAATTAAGATAATGACAATAAGCTTCCTCGTCTGCTGCCTTAGGGAATCGTAGAGGATTTCTTGCTGCTGCTAATCTTTTTTCTGCTGCTGCTGCTGCTGCTGTTGCTGTTCCTGTTGCTGTTGTTCCTCCTCCTCCTCCTGTTGTTGTTGCTGCTGCTGCTGTTGATGCACGAGAAGCATGAGGTGTATCTTGATCACCACCACCAGTACACCTTTGCTGCTGCTGCTGCTGCTGCTGCTGCTGCTGTTTATTGTTATTATTGTTGCTGTTATTTGATGTTCCTGCTGCTGCTGCAGCCATATTGCTGCTATCTCCTGTGCTGCTGCTGCTACGTGGAGGTGCAGCAGAAGCAGGAGAATCAGCAGCAGCACCAGCAGCAGGTGCAGCAGCATCAGCAGCAGCAGAAAAAGTATATTTATTAATTAAATAATCATCTGTCTCCTTTGTTCTCCTAGAGAAATCGTCTCCCCCCCATAACTCAAAGAAACGAACAAGATACACCCGAAACCATAAGCAGCAACTGCTGCTGCTGCTGCTGCTGCTGCTGCTGCTGCTGCAGTTGCTGCAGTTGCAGTTGCAATTGCTGCAGTTATTACAATTACAATTGTTGCAGTTGCTGCTGCTGCTGTTATAGCATGTCCTGCTGCAGCAACTTGTTGTGCTGCGGCGTAAGCAGCAGCCGCTGCGGCGACCACAACCATTGAAGCTGCTGCTGCTGCTGCTGCTGCTGTTGCTGCTGCTGTTACAGGTTAATATAGGGTAAGGGGGGCCACGACTGTCTCCTCTGCTGCAGCCTGCTGCTGCTGCAGCAGCAGCAGCAGCACCATGACGACTTGCTGCTGCTGCTGCTGCTGCTGATGAAGTACGAGGGAAAAATAAACCACCAGATAGATAATGTAGTTGCTGCTGCAGATTACGACGTGCATCTGCTGCTGCTGCTGCTGCTGCTGCTGCTGCTGTTGCTGCTGTACGGTATGGCTTCATTAAGGGAGCAGAAGCAGGACGACGCAGCGCAGCAGCTTTTGCTCGAGGTATAGGAGCTGGAGCTGCTGCTGCAGCAGCAGGTGCTGCTGCTGCTGCAGCAGCAGCAGATGCTGCAGATGCAGCAGCAGCAGGAGGGGCTGCTGGAGCAGCAGCAGGAGGAGCTGTTGTTGTTGTTGTTGCTGCTGCTGCTGCAGGAGGAGGAAGAGGAGGATGAATAGGTGCAGCAGTACTATGTGTACTTGTCTCACTACCACTGCTGCTGCCGCTGCTGTTGCTGCTGTTGCTCTTGCTGTTGCTGCTGCTGCTGCTGCTGCTGTTGCTGCTGCTGCTGCTGCTGCTCGTGTTAGCAGTCTGAGGAGCAGAAGTAGCAGAAGAGGAATCCCCCTTAGGGAGTTCCCCACTATTTACATCAGACATTGCTGCTGCTGCTGCTGCTGCTGCTGCTGCTGCTGCTGCTGCTGCTGCTGCTTAATTAATATTTAGGGGTTTTACCCCAACCTTGTAGGTAAGCAGACGGCCATAGGGCCGCTGCTGCTGTTGCTGCTGCTGCTGCTGCTGCTGCTGCTGTTTCTGATGTTGTTGTTGGTGTTCTTGCTGTTATTATTCTTGCTGCTGATATTGCTGCTGTTGCTGCTGCTGCTGCTGCTGCTGCGGGTCTGTTGTTGCTGCTGCAGCTGCAACCGGTGTTGCTGATATTGCTGCTGCTGCTGCTGCTGTTGCTATTGTTGCAGCAGTTGTTGCTGCTGCTGCTCTTGCTGCTATTGTTATGGTCTTGTTGTGACTATGATTGCTGCTGCTGCTGTTGCTGCTGCTGCTGCTGCTGTATTGTTATGCTGCAGAGACACCGCAGGCTGCTGCCAGAGGGGTTGTGTCCCCGTAGCTGCTGCTGCTGCTGTTGCTGCTGCTGTTGCTGCTGTTGCTGCTGCACTACCTTTAGACGAATCTGCTGGTAGTGCTGCTCCTCCTGTTGCTGTTAAATAGGGGTTCGGCTGCTGCTGCTGCTATGCTGCTGCTGCTGCTAGGCTGCTGCTGCTGCTGCTGCTGCAACAGCAGCAGCAGCCGAACCCTAGGAAGTGATGCAGGTATGGAAGGCAGCGTATTATTAGGGTTTAGGGTTTAGGGTTTAGGGTTTAGGGTTTGAAGTATGGCGGTGAGGCGTTTAAGCGCTGCCAAGGCGGCACGCAAGGACGGAAACGTGCAGGGTTTAGGGTTTAGGGTTTAGGGTTTAGGGATTAGGGTTTAGGGTTTAGGGTCTCCGCATAAGAGGAGACACAAGCGGTGCCCTTAAGAAGAACACCGATGGATCCCAGCCGATCCCAGCCGATCCCAGCCGATCCCAAGCGATCCCAGCGGCTACTACTACTAGCCCCAGCAGCAGCAGCAGCAGCCGCAGCAGCACAGCAGCAGCAGCAGCAGCAGCGGGTCTGCAGCAGCAGCAGCAGCAGGAATGCAACAGCAACTGAAATATAAGAATAAATACTCTATTTGCTGCTCTTTTTTGTTGTTTTATTTCCTTATGATGGACTGCATGCGCAACACAAACCCTAAACCCTAAACCCTAAACCCTAAACCCTTCAACCTTCGGTCTGCTGCCACCACGACATATAAAACCCTCATAAACCCTCCTTTTTTAATTAAATAATAAATAAATTTATATTTATTAAATTAATGGGGTAGAAGAGCTGCCTATACACCCTAAAAGGGAACCCCTCACTGCTGATTGCTGCTGCCACAGCAGCAGCAGCAGCAGCAGCAGCAGCTCCATGCGCCTTTGCTGCTGTTGCTGCTGTTGTTGCTGCTGCGGTTACTTCTACGGTACGACTCTTGCTGCTGCCCTTGCTGATCATAGAATTACTACTACTGCTGCTGCTGTTGCGATTGTTGCTGCAGCAGCAGCTGCAGCAGCAGCAGCACATGCCACAGCAGCAGCAGATCCTGTGGCTACAACCGTGTCCCCTAGTTATGGTGCTACTATTGCTGCTGCTGTTGCTGCTATTGCTGCTGCTGTTGCTGCAGCTTCTGCTTCCTAACTGCGTCTGCATCAATCGTAGCGCTTATAGAGAAAGTCTTGTTGCTGCTACTGTCTGTGCTGCAGCAGCAGCAGCAGCAGCAGCAGCAGCAGCAAAGTGGTGCTGCAGTTACCCCACACTTTGGGATCGGTCGATCCCCTGTGTCTGCTGCAGCAGAATATCAAGCACATAAGGACCCGCAGGTGCCTCTTCTTGTATCCGCCACCGCTGCTGCTGCTGCTGCTGCTGCTGTTGCTGTTGCTGCTGCTCTTGCATGCCATGGAGGCAGCGAAGAACAGACCGGTGCAGCAGCGAGCTTGAGGGCCCGTCCTCTTGCTGCTGCTGCTGCAGATCTTGCAGCAGCACCATATCATCACAGGCGCTGCTGCACGGGTCTAGTGCTGCTGCTGCTGCTGCAGCACCAGAGTTCTGGTGCAGCAGCAGCAGTTTTTGCTGCGCAGCCTCAGCAAGCTGCAGCAGCGCAGCAGCAGCACGTAAGAACTGCAGCGGCAGTGCTGCTACGCCTCCTGGTAGTTCTAAGGCAACATGCAGCAGCACTGCATGCAGCTGCAGCAGAGCAGCAGCAGGCAGCTGCTGCTGCGACAGCAGACGCAGCAGCTGCTGCTGCAGTTCCTCTACTTCGGCTGTTTGCGCAGCAGCAGCAAATGGATCTATGCTTTGCTGCAGCAGCAGCTGCTGCTGCTGCACTAAAGGCTGCAGCAAATCCATTAAACAATCTGCTGCACCTAACCTACCATGCAATCGGTGCTGCAGCAGCAGCTGCTGCTTCTGCTGCTGCTGCTGCCGTTGCTGCTGCACCGAGGAAATAGAAGGCAACTGCTGCAACGCATGCAGCAGCAGCGCTGCATGCCATGCAGCAGGGGCGGATGCACCTGCTGCAGCAGAGAAGCAGCACTGCAGCAAATGACGAGGCAACGCCTGAAACAGCAGCAACAGCAGCAGCAGCAGCAGCAACAGCAGCAACAGAAGCTGCATGCAATGCTGTAGAACAAAACACCGCCTGCTGCAGCAGAAGCAGCTACAGGCAGACGAAGCAAAACAAGCAGCAGCAGCAGCAGCAGCAGCAGAAGCAGCAACACACTACGAAACCCAACAGATGCAGCAGCAACAGCAGCAGCAGCAGCAACAGCAGCAGCAACAGCAGCAACGAACCTGAGTTGATGAGTAAGAAATGCTTTGCTTTTTCTGCCAGCGTTTGCTGCATGCGGCTACCAGCAGCTGATCCGGGCACAGCCCTATGCCGCTGCTGCTGCTGCTGCTGCTGCTGCTGCTGCTGCTGCTGCTAGGGATAGGCTTGTTTGCTCTATCTAACTTAACAAGAGATACAAATATACTCGCTAATCCCTGTGGGGTGCATGCAGCAGCAAACCGTGGCAGCAGCTGCAGCAGCAGCAGCAGCAAACTCTCCCTTAAGTTGTCTACCTCATTAACACTTTTGCTGCTGCTGCTGCTGCTGTATGCAGCACACGTAGCAGTAGCAGCAAGCGCATGCAGCAGCACCGAGTAGTGCTGCTCCCGCTGCAGTGCAGCAAGAAGCTCCTTCTTACGCCCAGCAAGAGAACTTAATATTGCCTATACACAGCAGCAGCAGCAGCAGCAGCAGCAGCAGCAGCAGTTGCAGTTACTGCACATGCTGCTCCTCAGCAGCAGCAGCAGCAGCTGCTCCTGCTGCTGCTACTTCCATAGACACGAGCAGCAATAGCAGCAGCAGCAACCGCAGTAACACCAGCAGCACTAACTCCCCAAACTAACAGCATCAACAACAAACAGCAGCAGCAGCAGCAACAGCAGCAGCAGCAGCAGCAACAACAACAACAGCAACAGCAGCAACAGCAGCAGCAGCAGCAGCAGCAGCAGCAAATTACCTGTAGTGTATATGCATCAATATGCCTTCCCTTAGATAGAGCACGAAGAGAAAGAAGAAGACCTTGCACACTAAATGCTGCTGCTTGCTGCTGCAGCACAGCAGCAGCAGCAGCAGCAGCTGTTGCTGTTTGCATGCGAGGTAATGATGGTAGCTGCTGCAACGCATGCAGCAATAATGTCATCTGTTGCGCTGTGCACCGATCCCTGTTGCTGCTGCTGATGCTGTTGCTGCTGCTGTTGCTGTTGCTGTTGCTGTTGCTGTTGCTGCTGCTGTTGCTGTTGCTGCTGCTGCTGCTGCTGCTGCATCTTTGTGAGTCCTTGACATCCCGAGACGCTGCAGGAACCGCAGCAGCAGCAGCAGCATCACCACCACGAGCAGCAGCAGCTGCAGCAGCAGCAGCAGTAGGAGCAGCAGGAGCAGCAAGACCTAGATTCTTTGTTGCATGCAGCAGCTCAAGGGCCCTATTAATTAACAAGAATAGCTGCCGTCGCTGCAGCAGCGGCTGCAGCCGCTGCAGTGCAGCAAACAGCAAACTTAGACCTTGAGGACCCATAGAATGCAGCAGCAGCACACGTTGCTGCTGCTGCTGCTGCTGCTCTTGCTGCTGCTGTTGTTGCTGCTGCTTCTGTTGCTGTTGGTCTTGTTCTTGTCGGTGCTGCTGCGTTGAGCCACTGCCGCTGCTGCTGCTGCTGCTGCTGGTGCTGCTGCTGCAGCACACATCAACAATATCCGCAACAAGGGGCCGCAGCAGCTCTGCTGCTGCAGCAGCAGCAGAAGGATGAGGAATATCTGCAGCAACAGCAGCAGCATTAGCAACAAGAGATAGATCTTGCTCATTCATAGATCTGAGGGGCCCCCAAGGGGGCCCCCCCCCTCCTAGTAGTACCCTAATACAACGAGTAAGAGATAGTCTCATGGACATTGCTGCAGTGCTGCTGCTGCTGCTGCTGCTGTTACTGCTGCTGCTGTTGTTGTTGCGCGTTCGTGCTGCAGCAGCAGCATCTTTTGCTGCTGCTGCTTGTGTTATACGAGCCAATGCATTGCATGCAAGAGCAGCAGAACGACCGCCTCCCTGCTGCTGCAGCTGCTGCTGCAGTTGCTGCTGCTGCTGCTGCCAATGTCTAGTCAGCTGCGTAAAGAAACAAGCAGCAGCAGCAGCAGCAGCACAATTAGGTGCAGTACTAGCGACACAACAGCTGCTCTTGCTATCTTCTGCTGCTGCAGTAGCAGCAGCAGCAGCAGCTGCTGCTGTTGCTGCTGCTCCAGCAGATGGAGCATCCTGTTGGGCAGCAGCAGCAGCAGCAGCAGCTCTTGCTGCTGCCGCAGCAGCAGCACAGAGGCATGGCTTCACAGCTCCAGCAGCAGCAGCAGCAGCAGCAGGAGCAGCAAAGTTTGCTGCTGTGCCTCGCAGCACTCGCGCTGTCTCACGAAGGTTACACAGCAGCAGCTGCTGCTGCAGCTCCTCCTTGCTGCTGCTGCTGCTGCTGCTGAGAGCATCCGTGGTTGCTGCCGTTTCTGCACGTTGTGCTGCTCCCCCTGCTGCTTCTGCTGCTGCTGCTGCTGCTGCTGCTGCTGTATAGTGGCGATGCCCGCCGTGCTGCCTAAGGCGTCTGTTTGCTGCTGCTGCTGCAGCGCGAGGTAAATTCATACACCTAACACGCGATCGATCCCGCGGTTGCTGCAGTTGCTGCAGTTGCTGCGGTTGCTGCAGTTGCTGCAGTTGCTGCAGTTGCTGCAACAGGTGTCGCTGCAGCGGCTGCTGCTGCTGCAGCAAGCGACGCCTTGCTGCTAAGCAGCAGTTCAAGAGAACAGTTGGGGGAGGCCCCCTGGGTAAACAAAAGAAGGGGGGCCCCCTCATCTGCCAAGTCATGTTGCAGCAGCAGCAGCAGCAGTTGCTGCTGCTGCAGCTGTTGCTGCTAGTATTTACACCCTCTTCTCTATGTATATTGAGCCATCTAGAAACATCAACTGCAGCAGCAGCAGCAGCAGAAGATGTGTGCTGCTGCTGTCTACACACTCCAGACCCTTCGAGCTGGGGGCCCCTGGGGCCCCTGTGGGGCCCACGGGATCTCCGGGGGCCCCACAGCCAGTTTACGGTTTAGGGTTTAGGGTTTAGCGTTTAGCGTTTAGATATTAGGGTTTAGAGATTAAAGTTTAGGGTTTAGGGTTTAGGGTTCCATTGCAGCATTCTGTTGCCTGGTGCCCCCCAATCGAGACAGCAGCAGCGCAGCACTGCTGCTGCTGCTGCTGCTGTTGCTGCTGTTGTTGCAGCAGCAGCAGCAGCTGCTGCTGCCTTCTTCAATATCATATTTTATATATACGTTGCTGCAGCAAAGAGAGGATAAAAGGAGGTTGTAGCTGCAGCAACAGCAGTAGCAACAGCAGGTGCAGCAGCAGCAGCAACAACAACAGCAGCAGCGGGAGTAGTTGAATTAGCAGCAGCTGCTGCTGAATCTTCCTTGCTGCTCACACATTAGGGTTTAGGGTTTAGGGTTTAGGGTTTAGCGTAATGAAGCTCCACAGTTTCCGCGCTCTGCGCATCAGCGCACTGACTGGATCGCCCATTGGCTATGAGGTAAACCCTAAACCCTAAACCCTAAACCCTAAACACTAAACCCTAAGCACTAAACCCTAAACCCTAAACCCTAAACACTAAACCCTAAGCTGTAAAGGCTAATTCATAGACCGTTGAGTTTAGACACAACTAGCTAACGGGAGGCCGTCATAAACCCTAAACCCTAAACCCTAAACCCTCATCTGCTGTGCATATGCCCTGTTGTGCTGCTTAGGTATTGATTAGGCCTGCAGAGGCATCAGCAGTTAGTACTGCTGCTGCAACTGCAGCAGCAGCAGCAGCAATAGATGGTGCAGCAGCACAGGAGGCCTGCGCGGAGGCAGCAGAAGCAGCAGCAACAGCAGCAGAAGAAGGACGAGCCCTATTTGTATGCAATGCCCCCTTGCTGCTGCAGCAGCAGCAACTGCAGCAAGCATTTGCTGCCTTTGGTCCTGTTGAGGCCCTCTATGATAAATTAACACAACAAAAAATATCCAAAAAATCCGTAAACCCTAAACCCTAAACCCTAATTAACCCTAATAAACCCTAAAAACCCTAAAAACCCTAAACCCTACTTGATCCTATCCTATCTAAACCCTAAACCCTTTTTGGCGACTCCACATTTCATACCCCATCTGTATTCTCCTTTAAACCCCTAGGGTTTAGGGTTTAGGGTTTAGGGTTTAGGGTTTGTCTGCAGGTGGCTAGTGTCCGTCTGGTGCATATTATCTATGAGGAAGCAGCAGCAGCAGCACGCGCATTAGCTGCTGCTGTTCCCCTTGAATGGGGGCCCCCTAAGGTTGGGGCAAAGGGGGCCCCTAAAAAGGGGGCCCCTAAGGAAGGGTGCTGCGGTTGGGGGCCCCAGGGTCTATGGGAAGGGTTTAGGGTACAGTCTAGCGGAAGTGCCGTCAAGGAGGGGCCCCTTAATTGGGTAATAGAGGCAGCGTCGTTATTTAAACCCTCAAGGAAGCTGAAGGCGTAAACCCTAAACCCTAAACCCTAAACCCTAAACCCTAATTCCTGTTTTATTCCCCAGGTTTAGAGCGCACTGTGCCTGTGTAAACCCTTAAATCAGCTAAACCCTAAACACTCAAAATGTACGGCAGGTGATGAGGATGCACACGAACAATCACGAAATTATAAAGGGTTTAGGGTTTAGGGTTTAGGGTTTAGGGTTTGTGGCTCAGACAAGTTGACGCATTTATGCAATCTTATGACCTAGGGAAGGATTTAAGAAAACAACAAAGAAATAAACAAATTGTTGATGAGGATGGATTCATTCTTGTACAAGGGTAATTTATAAACCCTAAACCCTAAACCCTAAACCCTAGAGACCGTAAACCCTAAACCCTAAACCCTAATTCTTAATTTTTAGACAGGTGGAGACTCCTTGTTGAAATTCCGTTGAGGGGATCCGTTCGGGTGAATAATCTTCTTCTTTTGAGACCAAGGGTTTAGGGTTTAGGGTTTAGGGTTTAGGGTTTAGGGTTTAGGGTTTGGGGTTTGCAGGCCTAAGAATAGTGCTGGAGAAGGAGAAACAATAAAGGGTTTTCGTCGTGCAGAGACGACACATTTGTTGCATGCAGGAGAAGAGAGTATATTTAGGCAGCAAGCAGCAGCAGCAGCAGCAGGAGCTACATGGGGCCCCCATCTAGGTCCTGCTGCTGCTGCTGCTGTAGGTATTAATACACCAGCAGCAAATAAAAAAAGAAAAAGAAAACAACTTATTGAGGACTTTTATACATTTAATCAACAAGAAAAAAGAAAAAAACGTAAACCCTAAACCCTAAACCCTAAACCCTAATTAACCCTAAACACTAAACACTACAAACCAGATTTAGTTCCTGACTCCCCCCCTAACGCGCCTATTGCTGCTCCTGCTGCTGCAACTGCTGTTGCTGCTGCTGCTGCTGCTGTACAGAGGAAGAAGACGCTGCTGCACGAGCGCAAAAGGCACTGCAAACTTTGGCGGAGCAAGTCAAGGTGAGCGAGGGTTTAGGGTTTAGGGTTTGTTTGGAACTCCCATTCGTGCCTCAAGGGTTTAGGGTTTAGGGTTTAGGGTTTAGGGTTTAAAGATGCGCTTCTTGTGTGTTCAGAAGAAGGCCTTCCGCCTCACTTAATGCCGAGCTCTCTTATCAGCTAGCTAGCTACCTAGCTAGCTAGCTAGCTAGCTGGTTAGCTAGCTAGCTGGCTAGCTAGCTAGCTGGCTAGCTAGCTAGGTAGCTAGCTAGCTAAACAAATAACTAAATAATTAGCTAGCTGGCTAGCTAGCTAGCTAGCGGACCGGAGACCACATGCATTGTATACCCAAACAAGGGCCAATTTTATTGTCTATAACTAGTAACAGCTAGCTGTAGCTAGCTGTAGCTAGCTGTAGCTAGCTGTAGCTAGCTGTGGCTAGGTGTTACTAACTCTTATTGGCTGTTTCTAGCGAACTGTGGCTAGCTAGCTTTAGCTAGCTAGCTATAGCTAACTGTTACTAACTCCTACTAGCTATAGCTAGCTATAGCTAGCCGTAGCTAGCTATAGCTAGCTGTAGCTAGCTGTAGCTAGCTGTAGCTAGCTGTAGCTAGCTGTGGCTAGCTGTAGCTAGCTATAGGTAGCTGTATTCCTTCCTTGATGATGAGGGGATAGGATGTTTGTTTCTTTATAACTACATTTAATACCTGCATAGATATAACAGATATTGCTGCTGCTGCTCCTGCTGCTGCTGTTGCTGCTGCTGTTGCTGCTGCTGTTGCTGTTGCTGCTGCTCTTTCTGCGGCTGCTGTACAATTTCGTTGCTGCTGCTGCTGTTGCTGCTGCTGCTGTTGCTGCACTGTGCTGCTGTTGTTACATCATGTACTGATGCTGTAGTTGGCTGCTGCTGCTGCTGCTGCTGCTGCTGCCATTGCTGCTATTTGCTGCTGCTAAGGGCTCCTGGGGTTGGTGCTACTCCTGTACCTGCTGCTGCTGTACCTGATCTATTTGCTGCTGCTGCTGCTGCAGTAGCTGCTGCTGCATCTCCTCCTCTTGATGATGCAACACGTCAGCAAAGACTTGCTGCTGCTCCTGCTGCTGCTGCTCTTCTTCCCGCTGCTGCCGTTCCTGTTGCTCTTCCTGCTGCTCCTTCTCCTGTTCCTGCTGCTCCTGCTGCTGCTCCTGCTGCTGCTCCTGCTGCTGATGCGGCTGTTCCTTTTGCTGCGCGTGCTGTTCGTCGTTCTGTTGCTGTAGTTGCTGCTGTTCTACTGCATGCTGCTGTTGCTGCTGCTGCTCCTCCTCCTGCTGTTGCTGCTGCTGCTGCTGCTGCTGCAGTAGCTGCTGCTGCTGCTGCACTGCAGCTAAGCAAGCCTGCAAGCGCGACAGCGAGGCGTCTGCTGCCAGCAGCAGCTCGGAGGCCCCGGGGGCCCCCTTGAAGCCCGCTGCAGCAGCAAACCCTAAACCCTAAACCCTAAACCCTAAACGTTAAGCCCTAAACCCTAGGGTTTCAGAAACATTGTCTAGGGTTTGTAGTGTTTAGGGTTTAGCGTTGTGCAGGAGCAAAATGACGATCGTATTATTTGGAGAGACAGGGGAATCAGGGTTTAGGGTTTAGGGTTTAGGGTTTAGGGTTTACCAAGACGAAGGAGGCGGAGGAGAGGCGGGTGGTTGGTGATGGCTGCTTTTACACGAGGGTTATCCTGCAGAGCAAAAAACCCTAAACCCTAAACCCTAAACCCTAAACCCTCGAGTTGACAACTTGAATAATTTTATTGGCATTAGTAGGGGAATAGTACGAAGGGATTATTAGGGTTTAGGGTTTAGGGTTTAGGGTTTAGGGTTTACGAGTTTAATTCTTTTATATCTTTCATCATGGGGATGTTCTATTGCATTATTTAATAACTTAGATAAAACAGACAAACTTTCTGCTGCTGCTGCTGCTGTTGCTGCTGCTGTTGCTGCTGTTGCTGCTCCTGTTGCTGCTGTTGCTGCAGTCGTACAGAAATCTTCTAGTGCAGCAGCTGCCTGTACACCTCAACACATTAACCAAAAAAGGGTTTAGGGTTTAGGGTTTACAGTTTACTTGGGTTGCGGGCTACGGTGTCTAGAGATTGCCACCCCGTAGCAACAGCAACGCTAAACCCTAAACCCTAAACCCTAAACCCTACAACCTATGTTTCTACCCCTAATGCGCAACCCTAAATCAAGCCCAAACCCTAAACCCTAAACCCTAAACCCTAAATCAGACCAGGGCCTCCGTGCTTGGTGATGCATCCAATGGATTCTCCTGAAGGCAAGGACAAGACGCAAACCCTAAACCCTAAACCCTAAACCCTCAAATTTGAACCCTAGGCCTCATCCCCGGAACCCTAAACTCTAGCCCCTTCATTGTAAACCCTAAACCCTAAACCCTAGACCTTAAACCCTTACTGGATAAGAAACAAGGAGCTGCTCTGTTGAACCCCCAAAGACAGGCCCTTCTTCTGCTGGTGGTCGTAAACCCCCAGCCAATCTATACAACTCTGTTACTACTGTACTATCCAGCTGCAGCACAAACCCTAAACCCTAAACCCTAAACCCTAAATCATAAACCCTACACCATAAACCCTAAAGGCTACGTCTTATAATATTTGCTTAGATGGTGGCTCAGACAACTGCCGCGAAACACTACAGGCATTTGACGAATTTTCTCTCTCAACGTCTAAACCCTAAACCCTAAACCCTAAACCCTAAACCCTAAACCCTTGCCTTGCAATAATCAGCTTTTCTCCTAACATGAGCCATAGCATGAACAACACCAAAACCACACAAAACTAAAAAACTCGCGGCAACCCCTGGAGAAAAAATTTCCCCAGAACTATCAAATACCTGCACACAAACCCTAAACCCTAAACCCTAAACCCTAAACCCTAAACCCTAAACCCTAAACCCTAAAAATTGAAGCATGTGTCTTGAGGCTTTGCAGAAAATCATAAGATATAAAATTCTAAACCCTAGATGCAGAAACCCTCCAAACTAAGATTTTTAGCCAGACGACAATCCCCAAACCCTAAACCCTAAACCCTAAAGCCTAAACCCTAAACCCTAGACGCACAAGTATGGATTTGTTTTGCTGGTAAGCTTCAAGGACATGTGCTGCTGCCTCTTCATAAGGAAAGTGTTTAATGTCTACACGGAAGGGGAGATGCAAAACCCTAAACCCTAAACCCTCGAGGGTTTTGCAACAAGGTTGGATAGAACCACCAGCCTGTGGCGGTGCTAAACAGAGCAACACCTATACAGCAGCAAAACAACAAACAACAAACCCTAACAATCAGCAGCAGCAGCAGCAACAGCAGCAGTAGCAGCAATAGCAGCAGCAGCAGCAGCAGCAGGAGCAGCAGGATTCATGCAGCAGCAACAATAGCAGCAACAGCAGCACCACTCTACGCAGCAACAACAGTGCTGGCGGCAGCCCAAAATCTACAGCAGCAGCACCAGCAGCAGCAGCAGCAGCAATAGCAGCAGCAACAGCAACAGCAGCAGCAGACCTGTATTTGGAAGTGTTTAAGGGCTTGAGGGTTTCCGAAGGCCACGCGGCAATCAGAAATAAAAAGAGCGAAATCTTTAGCAGGCTCGTCCTTCATCTGAAGCAAACCCTAAACCCTAAACCCTAAACCCTAAACTCCAAACCCTAAACCCTAAACCCTAAACTCCAAACCCTAAACCCTAAACCCTCAAGGGAAATATATAATTGCCCCTTTGATAGGAGAGAAAGGTGCGGTGGGGAGGTTGTAGACACAAAAAGGTTCAAGCACCGAAGGCTGGAGGCCAACTGTTGAGGGTTTAGGGTTTAGGGTTTAGGGTTTACGAGTTTTGTATTGGGGGCAATAATCTCTGTTGGTCCTGGCAGTAAAATATCTGAATCCGTGAGAAGAAGAGAGTAGCGAGGCATTAAAGAGTTTATCCCTCCTGCAGCGAAAAAATTAGGGTTTAGGGTTTAGGGTTTAGGGTTTAGCGAGTATTAGGGTTTAGGGGTCAGTAGGGTTGATAATTTGACGGTTTGTAAATGTTTGTAGGGTTTAGGGTTTAGATATGAGGGCTAGGAATTGTTCAGGGGGTTTAAGGGTTTACAGTTTAGGATTTAGAAGAGGAACTTTGGGTGACTAGGGTTTAGGGTTTAGGGTTTAGGGTTTAGGGTTTAGGGTTTACCTGCTAATACAACAGCTTCTGTATATTGAATTCCTCCATTTTGCAAATAACGCAAAAATTGCAGCAACAGGGGATCGTCGTCTCCCTCCCCCACAGCCACTACCTGCAGCAAACCCTAAACCCTAAACCCTAAACCCTAAACCCTAAACCCTAAACCCTGGAGTGGAAAATCATCGAGGGCATGCACTAAACTCGGATTCATTCAGAGCTCTTATTCACTCTGCTTGCTTCTGCGATTCGTGCAAGCAGCAGCAGCAACAGCAGCAACAGTAACAGCAGCAGCAGCAGCAGCAACAGCAGCAGCAGCAGCAGATCGTACAGTTTTGAGCTTGCAGACTACAGCAAGCCATTGATGTAGATGGGGAGGCCCGGTGCGGGCTTCTGCATCTTTTGCTGCTGCTGCTTCTGCTGCTGCTGCTGCTGTTGCTGCTGCTGTTGCTGCTGCTGATGCTGCTGCTGCTGCTGCTGCTGCAGTAGCAGCCCCTTGGGACTGCAAGCGGCTCATAGCAGCAGAAGCAAGCTTCTCCCTGTCAACTGCAGCAACACCGGCACAAAACCCTAAACCCTAAACCCTAAACTATAGATCGTACACTTCAAACCCTAAACCCTAAACCCTAAACCCTAAACCCTAAACCCTAAACCCTAAACCCTAACTGACCTTTCCCTCCGCGAGTTGAGTTGTGCTGCAGGCAGCAGACGCAGCAGTTGCAAACCCTAAACCCTAGTTCGCACCCCCTAGGAAAGCGGACCCTAAACCCTAAACCCCCAAGACCCTAAACCCTAAACCCTAAACCCTAAACCCTGTCTAACCGGCAGTGTCTCTGTCTTGTGTGGCTCGTCTTCAGGTGGCAGTGGGTTGCTGCTGCTGCTGCTGTTTGCTGCATCAGCAGCAGCATCTGGTACTCCATCAGCAGCAACATTCCCCGAGGCAGCAGCAGCAGCAGCAACAGCAGCAGCAGCAGCAGGACTATCTGCTACAGTTGTTGCTGCTGTATGCATGTGCTGAATATCAACAATTTCTTCGTCCTCCTTATCGTCACACTCCTGCTGCTGCTGCTGCTGCTTCTGCTGCTGCTGCTGCTGGCCGTTCTGTTGCTTCTTCTGCTCATCCTTCTGCTGCTGCTTCTGCTGTTGCTGCTGCTGCTGCTTCTGCTGCTGCTGCTGTGCAGCTGAGGACCTAAGGCGGCGGAGGGTTTGCATGCGCATGCGGGGCCACACAAACCCGCTGCTTCGTGCTGCAGGGTTTGCTGCAGCAGAACGGGACACCGCGGGACCTGCAGCAGCAGCAACAACAGCAGCAGCAGAAACAACAGCAGCAGACACCAAAGTAAACACAAACCAGCAGCAGCAGCAGCAGCAGCAGCAGCTGTAGCAGCAGCAATGCAGGTCAGGTGGCTCCCTTACTAACTACAGCCAATAAATACTACAATTAATAAGCCACAGCAGCAACAATAACAGCAAAAACAGCAACAGCAGCAGCAACAGCAGCAGCAACAGCAGCAGCAGCAGCAGCAGCAACAGCAGCAGCAGCAGCAGCAGGAGGACGAACGTTCTGTCTGTTTAAGGAGCAGCAAAGGAGGAGCAGCATTATAATCATCAATTGCTTTCTTTACATCTTCTATTGACCTCCAAGGAGATACACCATAATGTAGCTTCTTAGGGGGCCCCCCTGGGGGCCCCCCTAGGGGCCCCCCCCCTGGGGGCCCCTCTTGGTGGCCCCCCTGGGTCCCTTTTTGGGAACCCCTCTGATTGCGACCCCTATGTTTGTGACCCCTCTTATTGACCTTCTGGAGGGGGGCCCCCTCAGGGGGGCCCCCCTGGGGCCCCTCTGATGGGTAAAGGGGCCCCCATGGATTCCTACAATCAAATAATATTGCTGCATGCTTTGCTGCCTTATGATTAATAATACAATAAACAAGAGAAGGAGAGGCAACACTCCATCTCCTGCTGCTGCCTGCTAGGGTCTCTCTTAGCAGCAGCTGCTGCTGTTGCTGCTGCTGTAGTGATATGGCTGCAGCACAACTACTACTACTACTACTACTACTGCTGCTGCTGCTGCTGCTGCTGCTCTTGTTGCTGCCGTAAGGCCACAGCCAACGCCCGCCATCCTTAGACGAACGATCGCCATGAGAATCCCGAGAGAAGGGACGCACGCAATTCTGACCCATTGCTGCTGCTGTTGCTGCTGTTGCTGCTGTTGCTGTTGCTGCTTTTGCTGCTGTTGCTGCTGCTCCGTTTGATGTTGCTGTTCGGGCTGTTGCTGGTGGTGATGATAGTGCTGCTGCTGCTGCTGTTGTTGCTGCTGCTTGTTGTGCCCAGAAGGCTATATCGTGATTATCCTCTCCTGCTTGTTGTTGCTGCTTTTGCTGCAGCAGCAGCAGCCGCTGCTGCTGCTGCTGCAGCCGCTGCTGCTCGAGATAAAGCGGTTGTCTAAGAAATTAAAGAAAAACCCTATGCTGCTGCTAAGTTAGGGTTTAGGGTTTAGGGTTTAGGGTTTAGTGTTTAGGGTTTAGACACTCTGCAGTGGACAGGCGCCGGTATCGCCTCTGCTGCCAGTAGATAGATCGCGTGCTGCTATTGCTGCTGCTGCTGCTGCTGCTGCTGCTGCTGCTGCTGCTGTTAGCTGCATGCAATATTGAAATTGTTTAATTATAGATGGTGCTGCATGTGTCGCTGCTGCTGCAGCTGCTGTTGTTGCTGCAGCTGTTGTTGCTGCTGCTGCTCTGGACCGTCGGCTGCAGCAGTCAATGAGGAGCGCGACCTGCTTCAGCTCGGGGGTTTAGGGTTTAGGGTTTAGGGTTTAGGGTTTATGCAGGTGAATCAAGTGAGTTAGTCACAGGAGTTATTTTATGGGTTTATAAATTAGGGTTTAGGGTTTAGGGTTTGGGGTTTATGGTTTAGACCTCATGAGCGTCGTCGGCGCCGGGCAACAACAACACCAGCAGCAGCAGCAACAACAGCAGCAGCAGCAACAGCAGCAGCAGGTTACGCTATATTATTGAATACTTTATAAGAAATTATTTTTAATTATAATTTTATTTAATTAATTTCTTTAATATTTACTACAGAAGGCGTCATATATGCTTCCTAATCTAGTGTTGCTGCTGCTGCTGCTGCTGCTGCTGCTGCTGTGTTGCTGCTGCAGTTGCTGCCCTAGCAGCAGCGAACGGCAGTGCCTGCTAGGGGCCCCCCAATGAGTTGGGGGCCCCCAGGGAAACTACCCTGCAGAAGCAACCGAAGCAAAATAAGAAACACAAAACAGCTTCGGCTTTAGGGTTTATGGTTTAGGGTTTAGGTTTTAGGGTTTAGGGTTTAGGGTTTAGGGTTTCACTGCAACACATGGACGTAGGGGGGCTGCTCCCGCACCTTCCCGCAGTTAGGGAGTTGCAGCAGCGCAGCAGCAGCAGTATAGCAGCAATAATATATCAGCAGCAGCAGCAGCACTGCAGCAGCAGTAACGCTGCAGCAGCAACACTGCATCAGCAATACAGCAGCAACAACACAGCAGCAGCACGTGCACAGGCAGCAAGCGGAGCAGCAGCAAAATAGCAGCAGCCCCTCAGCAGCAGCAGCAGCATCAGTATATGCAAAAGCATTAACTGCAACAACAGCAGCAGCAACAGCAGCAGCAGCAGCAGCAACAACAACAACAGTGAGCACAACAGTGGCGACTGTAACAACAACAACAGCAGCAGCAAAGACAACTGCAACAGCCGTAGGACTGGCAGCAACAGCAGCAACAGCAGCAGCAGTAGCAGGAACAGCAGCAGCAGCAGCAGCAGCAACAGAAGCAGCAGCAAAAATGGCGGTGCGTAGCGCTAGTATTCCTCAGCTGCTGCAGCAGATGAAAGACATTGACTTGGTAGGCAAGAACAATCTTCTTCTTCTGCTGCTGCTGCTGCTGCTGCTGCTCTTGCTGTTGCTGCTGTTGCTGCTGCTGCTCTTGCTGTTGCTGCTGCTGCTCTTGCTGTTGCTGTTGCTGCTGTTGTTGCGGCTGCTGCTGCTGTTGCCTTTGTTCTACTGCTGCTGCCTAAACGTCACAGCCACCTGCAGTTGGATTTCCAGCAGCAGCTGCTGCTGCCGATGCTGCAGCAGCAGCAGCAGCAGTAGCAGTAGTAGTAGCAGCAGCAGCAACAGCAACAGCAGCAGCAGTCGGCAGACACCTCGCTGCAGCTACCGTAGCAACGAGGGAAAACGTTTTTAGGGTTTAGGGTTTAGGGTTTAGGGTTTAGGGTTTATGGTGCTCAGGACAAACGGGTTATGGCGGCGTCCGACTTGACAGAGGCAATCTTAAGCAGTCCACAGGTGAGGGTTTAGGGTTTAGGGTTTAGGGTTTAGGGTTTGAGTTTCGTGGATTCTTAGGACGAAGACCTGCCTGTTTAGGATTCTAGGGTATAGGATTCTAGGGTTTAGGGTTTAGGGTTTAGGGTTTGGGGTTTTCAGGGTTTAGGAGCCGCCTGGGAAGGACGAGCAGCGACGGCCCTTTTGCAACAACTTGAAGATAATTCTGTTGATGTACAGGCGAATGCGGTGAGGGTTTAGGGTTTAGGGTTTAGGGTTTAGGGTTTAGGGTTTAGGACATACTAGGACTTATAATCTATGATTTAAGGTGTAAGATGTAGGGTCTAGGATATACAAGATATGGTTAATTGTTAAGGGTTTTCTATTTAGAGTTTAGGGTTTAGGGTTTAGGGTTTAGGGTTTAGGGTTTAGGGTTTAGGGTTTATGTGTCATAGGTTCGTTGTATTCGTAATTTAATTTGTATATTTTCTCCATCAATTCGTCTAAACACTTTTCTTTCTCTTTCTTCTTCTGTTAATAATTATACTAATGCATTTAGACATATTCATTTTACTTGTCTTAAAGGTAAACCCTAAACCCTAAACCCTAAACCCTAAACCCTAAACCCTAAACCCTAAACCCTAAATATACCCTAAACCCTAAACCCTAATTATAAACCCTAA